ATTTTTTCCTTTAAATCTAGTCTGCTTTAGGAAACCCTTGCACATTTGTAAATTGTTGAACACAACATCTAGGTTTCCCTTAAATATAATAATGTATAGCAATTCTGTTATCTGATTTACATATTTTTTTCTTTAATTCAACTGCAACATCTGTTATTTTAAATGAAAAAAAATAGACTTTCTAATAAAACAAATCCTGTACATTTTCATTTTGGGTTGTTTTACTTTTTACATTGTTCTTAAAATGCTCAAACAAATGTTTTTCTTAATTTATCTGTAAGGAATATATATATTTTTACTCAAATTTAGAGTAATTAGAGCAAAACTAGCTGGTATTAATAGAGGAATTTTGATGTATTTTATATGCTGGTCATATAACATGTATGGCAATATTATTTTCATATCTACCATTAACCCCTTAAGGACACATGACATGTAATAATCCCTCTCCAGACTGCCAGCTAACTACCCTAACCCCAATTCAGACTGCTAGCTAACTACCCTAAACCCAGTCCAGATTGCCAGCTAACTACCCTAACCCCAATCCAGACTGCCAGCTAACTACCCTAAACCCAATCCACACTGCCAGCTAACTACCCTAAACCCAATCCACACTGCCAGCTAACTACCCTAAACCCAATCCACACTGCCAGCTAACTACCCTAAACCCAATCCACACTGCCAGCTAACTACCCTAACCCCAATCCAGACTGCCAGCTAACTACCCTAAACCCAATCCAGACTGCCAGCTAACTACCCTACAGAACAGGCGCCCCTGCTGGCTACCACACATTTCTCAGGCCCTTGACCTCTCCAGGAATTCTCTTAATTTTAACCTCCTTATACTCAAAATTCACCACAAATATTTCAAGGACCAATCTCGTCACCACATAGACTCCTAGATTTCCCAAAATTGAACGGATGGTATTACTAAACTGAGATACACAGCGGATAGAAATATATACTTCCACTGGACCATCTTACTACCAGGAAGAGATACTTTCAGCTGATCACCACAAATAAGGTACATTAAAACTATAAAATCGACTCGCCTCCATTTGTAAGTTGGGTTTTGGATTTGATCGTCCATTCAGCAATGCTCAGATTTCAGTTCTAAACACAAACTAAAAAAAAAAAACTAATTAATGAAAAAAAACTAATTAATGAAACCTATTTCACTAAAATACATTGGGTTTGAACTCCTGTAATCTGACCTGCATGCATGCTTTCTAATCTATCTACAATGCAGCCTGAAGTGCAAAATCTCACACCTGGCTTGGATCCTGTAGAGCAGGATAATCCGACCAGCTCTTACTGCTAACATCCCTACAAAAACTAAAAACTATTTTAACTCCTTCACTACTGAGGAAATGATCACCTATACTCCCTCATATCTGTATTCCCTAGGACCCCAAAAAGCGGTTGCTGCACTTAGTCCCTTGCTATTGGTTACCCTAAATTCACTTAATATCTTCAAAGAGGTCTGACGGGCTATCGTGGAGGAAAATCTAAACTTAAAGTTCAATCTCCTAACATTCTCAGAGCTGCTCCACCACCCTGTCTACTTGCAAGCCCCATTGAAGTGATTCAACCTAGAAGCCACACAAACCACACTATCAAATCAAGGAAACCTCTTTGTATGATCCTTATTAGAAGACACACTGTTTCCAAAATACAGAGCAAAAACTCAGAATCTCAAGACTGTCCTACCAGATCACTCCTGGGCAACGCCAGATCAATAAGGAAAAAAACACCTATTATCGCCGCCCTTATAGAAACATGTGAATTAACTTGCATTACAGAATCATGGCTAGATGAAAATGTGGGGCCTATTCTAGAGGCAGCTATGTCAGACCACCACTCCATTCACTTCTCTATTGTATCACATTTAGCCAGACCCCAGGCTACTAACCTGGTCAAAAAATGATCATTAAAAGGGGTGATGCCATTGGATGTAACATTACATATGGATCTAAGTGAATTAATGGGCACCTGTGAAGGCCCCAGCTCCTTAGTCTGACTCTACAACAAAACTATGAAAGAAACCTTAGAAAGCATTGCATCAACATGCATACGCACTGTCAAAACCCACAACAATGCGCCATGGTTTGATAGCACCATCAGAGAAATGAGAACAGGCCGTAAACTCGAGAGAAGGTGGCGCAGGACACATAATCCTGAGGATAAATCTGCTCTTACCAAACATCTCAATGAATATCAAGGGAAGATAAAGAAAAAAATTAAATTTTTGTCATGTGAAATTGCACTCTACCACAATAGACCCAGGCAACTGTTTTGCACAGTAGAAAGGCTCTGCAAACCAGCATGCATACATATCCCCACCAACTTTTCTCAGGATAAGTGTGAAGAATTTGTGATATTCTTCACAGACAAGATTTCCTCTATCAGAGCCTCTATCACAGGGCAACCAGTTACACACCAGAACCAACACAATGGAATGCCAGACTGTTTATGGTCCACTTTTACAAATGTGGATATAGAGGGAGTTAAAAGAACCATGCAAAAGTTACACTCTACTACATGTGAGTTAGACCCTGCTTTAACTCAGCTTATATCCGCATGCATTGAAACACTTTCCCCAGCCCTCACAAAAATAGTGCAGTGTTCACTAAAAACTGGAGACTTCCCAGATCCTCTAAAAGAAGCTGTGGTAAAACCACTCCTAAAGAAACATTCACTAGACCCAGACTGCATGGCTAATTACAGACCAGTATCCAACCTTCCATTTCTGGTGAAAATAATTGAAAAAGTAGTGACAACGCAACTGGAGGCCCATCTATCAAGCTTGAACATCTTTGATCCTTTCCGGTCAGGCTTCAGATGCCACCACAGCACGGAAACAGAGCTAGTCCGAGTGCTAAATAATCTCCTAATGGCGAGAGACAAAGGTGATTGCTCCATCCTAATCCTCCTGGATCTCTCAGCTGCATTTGACACCATTGACCACAGGATTTTTTTGTAAATATGTTTTTATTGAACCTTTTTTTTTTTTTTTTTTTTTGCTTTGTTTTTTCGTTTGTTATCAACATGGAACAGAAAAACATGGACACGCAGGTCCCTTTGGTCATTTGTACATGTTTATACATTGTAGGGCATAGTCTGTTAGACGTGTCTTGGCGACTCGCAGGTCGCTTTCTTGAGTAAATGGTGTGTGCATAGTTACAAATAGTACTTTGTTATATCTGACGTGTACCTTTTCTGCATTGGGTAGTTTTGTATGTCCCGCCAATTTTCATCTAGTCCCTCATGCCCACCCTGTAGCCACCATGCAGTCCTAGGACATGTGGGGTACCTACTGTGTAGGGTCCCATCAGGGCATGCAGCCTCCTGACCATAGGATTTTAATAAAGCGCTTGCAGCACATTTGTGGTCTAGGAGGCATAGTCCTTAAATGGTTTTAATCTTCCCTCATTGGTAGATCACAGAGATTAACATCAGGATCAAGCTCATCAGCACCAACAGAATTGACCTGGGGAGTTCCACAAGGATCCATCTTATCTCTCATGCTATTCGCAATTTACTTGCTACCACTGGGGGATATCATCAGGCGACATAGTCCAAGGTACCATTGTTACGCTGATACACAACTCTACATCTCCTTTGCTAAAGATACTACAGACCCAACATGCCGCATTAACAGTTGCTTAGCAGACCTCATAAAATGGATGAATGCTAGTTGGCTAAAAGTGAACCCTGACAAAACAGAGATACTCTTGGTGAAGGGACCCCAGGCAACAAATATATCCCATGATCACACAACAGGCCTGGAGCTTGGAGAATCTGAACTCATTAGTTCATCAAAGGCCCGAAACCTCTCTGTGCTGATTGACTCTGGACTATCATTTAAACAGCAGATTTCCTCTGTAATAAAATCTGCATACTTTCATCTGAAAAACATACAACACTTAATTCCACCGGATGATATGCTAACATTAATCCATGCATTTGTATCCTCTCGGCTAGATTGCTGCAATGTACATTACTTGGGCCTCCCAGAAAAAGAACTCCGTCGCCTTCAGACTGTACAAAATGCAAACTCGCTCCTGCCACATGACACCTGTTCTCCACTCATCTGACCATCAGAAACTCTGAACTTTTATGTCTTTATGTTTATATATTTGTAAAGTGCTTTGAGTCTCACAGGGAGAAAAGTGCTATAAAAATAGCAAATTATTTTTATATTATTTTATATTGGTTATGGTGTCTGGAATGTTCATTTAAAAAACGACAAACGCCTTCTTTCATTTCAACCAACACACAGAATTTTTTATTTTTTAATAAAAATAAATGAATTCATAACTGAGAACATATAAGGGAGCACTGCCTGAAATTGTGTTGAAATATATGTCCAGAAAGGAATGGCAGATTAAGTTCCCTTACACTTAGCATTTGGTAAATATTTTCAGCTCCTCCTGCTTGTTTTAGCAAATGGGTAGGCAACCTTGGGCACTCCAGATTATGTGGAGTTCATACAAATCACATAATGCTCTTATAGCCATAATGCTGGTAAAGTATCAGGGGAGATGTAGTCCACAACATCTGTGGTGCCAAAGTACCCTGTTTTAGCATAAAGAATAGCTGAGGTTGGGTAAACGTTTACTTCAGTTTATAAATGGTTTTCTTGGGTGTACATTTTCAGGTTCAAGTGTGCGTGGCCATGAGTTCAACAGGAATTTCAAATTCCAGGTCAAAATAGCTAAATTGTCAGAATTGTCAGCTGTGCTTTATGTTTGATGATTTTGGATGAAACTTAAATTTATGTTCACTTTGAAATCCCGAAAATTCACACTTTAGTGAACAGCTCTGTAAATAAGATACATTGTTCTTTTTATAAAGTACATGTTAGTTCCATAAATTATTAGTAAGTCACCTCAAATTTTCCAAACCCCTGGGCACACTCCCACCCCTAAAATAAAATGTCATGTGCCATGTTGGGAAGCATAACAAAACTTCTCAGCAAATCATTAACAATCTAACAACTACTGGCAGGCGCCCATAACAAATATGGCAGACAGGGCGTCGCCAACAGAGGGCTTGTACCTACCCCCAGTCCTGGCCGCCTTCAAGAAAACGTCACTTCCGCTTCCTGCCTGTCCTTTTTCTTCTCCGTTGGGCCGCCGTGCGGGTGGGTATGCGCTGTGTCCGCTCCGTGTGCCGTGTGATCGCCCTCCTTGCTGCTCACTGAGTGCGTGCTGGCTGTGTGTGATAGGCAGGGCGCAATCCATCCAGGCCCAGTCCGCCATGGGCAGTCTTATAGACTTATAGAGAGGCCTGGAGCCAGCCGACCATGATATCCACATGGCGCATGGGCCGCAGCCTGTGTATAGTCATACCCTAATATAGTATGGGGATACCCTAATATAGTATGGGGATACCCTAATATAGTATGGGGATACCCTAATATACAGCCTGTGTATAGTCATACCCTAATATACAGCCTGTGTATAGTCATACCCTATATATAGATACCCTAATATACAGCCTGTGTATAGTCATACCCTAATATACAGCCTGTGTATAGTCATACCCTAATATACAGCCTGTGTATAGTCATACCCTAATATACAGCCTGTGTATAGTGATACCCTTATATAGTATGGGCATACCCTAATATACAGCCTGTGTATAGTGATACCCTAATATACAGCCTGTGTATAGTGATACCCTAATATAGTATGGGGATACCCTAATATACAGCCTGTGTATAGTGATACCCTAATATAGTATGGGGATACCCTAATATACAGCCTGTGTATAGTCATACCCTAATATACAGCCTGTGTATAGTGATACCCTAATATAGTATGGGGATACTACAGCCTGTGTATAGTATAGTGATACTGTCACTGTGATAGAGTAATATACAGCCTGTATATAGTATCTGCCTGTGATAGAGTAACTCTAGAGTTAGAGTTTTTAGCTAAATTGTTTTGTTGTAATCTTTGTATGGATTACAGTAGTTCACTTAACTTTTTTTTTTTTTTTTAAGAATCCACAAAGTGATTATTGAATAATAAACATTACAGTACTCTAGAAAATACTTTTATTTGTTCTTATCACTTTTTATTTGCTCTTGGTTGCACTAGTGAATGCAGCTGATACTTTTTGCATGCCAGCAATTGTATGGGTCCTGAATCAAATTGCCTGTGTCTACCACAGATGATCCTTTAAAATTACAATATGATCATTTTTGTTTTCTTTTGACAAGCTTTCAGCTTTAAAATTCTTCTACAAGTGACACATTAAAAAGTCACAGTAACACACACTGCCCTGTTCTGAAAGAATTAAAATGTTAACAAGCTTATACTAAATTATACTTTTGTAAATAACTAATCTTAAATTTCATTATTCAAGATGGTTTCAGATTTCACAATGAATCTGATAATGCATAAACGGTTTTCTGTTGGCAACAGCTAACTGGCTGTTATCTGGTGAAGAGTATCAGAAACACACAGAAATCGACTAAAATTCACAAATCAGAGAATGTAGAATTGTATATTTTCAAATAAGTGATAATTGGTATATATTTGTCCATTTTAAAGAGCAACAAGATTATCTGGTTGTTATACCACAGAGCAACCAAAACATTTTCTCTGTTGCAAATTTGTGCATTGTTGAGCTGCAGATTTTAAGCTAGACATCTATGTTCTGTCAAAGCATTAGACTACGGTAATAGTCTCTTGTGCACCATCTACTGTAAGAAAGTTGCTCTGAAAGTGTTTAGGAGAATCAGAATCTGCTGATTACCAGGCATGTTAATATGGATGGTACACTGCAATGTTGGCAAAGCAGAGATGAGGACTGGTTGAAAACGTAGGTGGATGCGAAAATAATTTCCCATTATTTCCATTTGTTCGTTATTCTGACATCACATTTTATAAATAAACTTAAATGCTACTTAACTTAGTTGTTGCTAGTGACAGATACTTTAAAGCAGAATCAAATTAAATATTACAATTTATTCTTATGGATTCTTTGTCGTTTATGTATAGGTGTTGCTCACAATTTTATGTATAAAATTATTCAATTGAAGCAACTGTTTTTATATTTCTCTAGATTTAATAAATTCACTTTTAGATCACTAAGATTTGAATGTAATTTAGTCTCTACATTTTTACTGTTTCTTGAAAAGCTTTTTTTCAATATTACTTTTGGCTGCATTGCTAGGCCTTATTATGACATCAGCCAATTGCTATTAAACAGAGATTTGTTCTCTTTCCTTAAAGGATCCCCAAAGGCATCAAAATGCAGATCTTCGTAAAAACCCTTACTGGGAAAACAATCACCCTTGAGGTTGAGGCCAGTGATACTATTGAAAATGTCAAGGCTAAAATCCAAGATAAGGAAGGTAAGTGGAGTACGAAAACCTTGTTTTGAGAGATGTCACTGTAATTTCGTTTCATTACTCAGGATTCTTGATTATTCCTATGTCGGGTCAATGAATTGGCAAGCTTAGAAAATAGTGGTCAATATGCAGACAAAATAAATAAGGCTCTTTCTAGTTATTGATCCAAGTCCACTACTTTGCCTCAGCAGTTGATGTTATTTTCCTGTGTTAAATCAGTACATTAAATGGGCACTCTAAACACCATAACTGCTATGGCACAATGTTGTGGTTCGGGTGCCAGGTAAACTGTTAAACCGTTAATGGTTTGACATTTATCTTTCTATGTTGGCATTGTGGTCCTTCTAGTCTGCAGAGATATGCTAAAGCACAAATGCGTTTCAAATTTGATACCAAGTGCTGACACCTAGACAGTGATTGAAATCCTAAGTGCTTATGCTAATGCTTTAGCATTAAAGTTCTCTGTAGTATAGTTGTAAAGACTGGAAGGGTCACAGGTACCAACATAGGCCTCAATTTAATATTGTTAATTAAGCTTTCCAATTTTTAAAAAACATTTTTAGATTTAGATTTAAAACTAATTTTAATCTATATTCTAAATATTACTAAACTAAATTATGTCTCATATTAAATCATTTGGACAGTGTTCCAACAATATTAAATCCAGGCCATCGCCAGAAGTGAGTATTAAGGCCAAAGCTGTAATTCTCCATCTTGGTTACTTAGTTACTAAAATAGTTTTTAGTCAGACTATTTTTTTCAAATCATCGTTCTGTTTGAATTTAGTGTTTAATAAACAGCTTTGTATTTCAGAAATGTTTTAAGTTCATTTCTAGTACTCTCTGTATTGTGAAGTGGATATTGTCATCACCACATTGATTTATTTACCTGTTAAAGGAAATCTATAGCATCAGGAATTAACGCTACAGTGTGCTAGTACCTAGTTGGATTACTGCCCCTACCCCATTTACTTGCCTTTACTCCATTACCATGCAAGTCCTGTCCTGCTGCTCTGTCTTCTTGGCTGAGGTAAACAATCTTGATGATCTCAGCCAATCCAATGCTTTCACTAGGTAAGCATTGGGAGGCTAGTGGGCATGCACAGCAAAATTCTGTGCCAATCAAATGCTCTGTATGAATTGGTTATTCAGTAGAAGCGCTTCTATTGGTTGTCAGGAAGACAGCCACTAGAGTGTGTGTTAATCCTCCAAACATAACATTTGAGTGTCTTCTAAATGGCAATGTTTTACATTGCAAGGTTAAAATTAAAGGACTACTGTACCCAGATCACGTTATTGAGATAAAGCAGTGTGGGTGTCTTTATTGGTCTTACAGTGTCACCGCTAGGTTCCTATGATAATATTTTATGGCTTAAATTTATTATGTTAATCTATAGTTATATAGTACACGATGTATAAACCACAAATTCTCCAGTGACTTTACAAAGAACCTGAAACTGTATGCAGTTATTTTTCGTTCACTGGTTGACTTTTCTTATTTATTGGTCAACTTTTTCTTAATTTTGTAGGTATTCCCCCTGATCAGCAACGTCTGATTTTTGCTGGAAAGCAGCTTGAAGATGGACGTACTCTGTCTGACTACAACATTCAGAAAGGTATAAAGTGACCTCTCTTGGTTGTACATGATTACTATTTTATTGTATTTTTTGTATTTTTTTTACTGATGTGTGCATATTCTTACTAATCAGAGTGGGAAGATAGTTATTCTGTACAGTACAAAATAATCAGTGTGATACCTCAGCAAACCAGTTAAAGGGATCCTATAGTGCCAGGAAAACAAATCTGTTTTCCTGGCACTAAAGGCTTCTGGAGTGCGCCTCACCCTCCCCCCCCACTGCTGGGCTGAAGGGGTTAAAACCAGCCACTTACCTGAATCCAGTGCTGATGTTGCTTGGTCATGTACTTAGAACATGCCAAAATATATAAATTATAAAAAGAACATGCAAACTTGAAAGCAACTTTGTTACATCCAAAGGTCAAGTTTGTTGGATACCTATCTGCTTTGATCAGTGTTGAGGTTTCTATTTTGCAATGTAAATCTGTGTAATTATTGGCTATAGGTTATTCATGGTTCCAAAACATTGTTTCAAATCTAGATTGCACTGCACACAACACATGCATTGTTTTATTGAGATGCCTCTAATTTTCTTTCCTAACTGTGATAACTTTCAGAGTCAACCTTGCATCTGGTGCTGCGTCTGCGTGGTGGCATTATTGAGCCTTCCCTCCGCCAACTTGCCCAGAAATACAACTGTGACAAAATGATTTGCCGCAAGTAAGTGTTATGACAAAGATGCTGCAGTTAATGTTAGTTTGTTTTATGGAATACATGCTTCTCTCCACATTCGTTCTTATTTTATAAGCTTGATAACAGATGGAGAGAACAGTGCACACCCAAAGGAAGAATACTTTCACCAGAGTGCTCCACATGAAGGATGAATTCCCCAAATATCCAGTGGAAGAGAGTACAAAATGTCCAGGCACATCGGGTATTTCTTCTGGAAGGCAGTCTTTATTTGGAATCAGAAAATAAGAACTTTTCATATTCTTATTTCCTTTTTAAAAAAGAACTACTGCCTTCCAGAAGAAATTACCCGGTGTGCCTGGACATTTACTATTTAATAAGCTAAATGTGAAAGAAAAAAACTCCCTTTCAAAGAAGTGAGTTTCTTGCTACTTCACTCCAGAAAACACTGTTTCAGTACATATTATACTTGCACTGAGCAGCCATTGATTGCAGGTCATTGACTGAGAGTGTCAGCTGCCACTCTCTGCCACTCAATAATTCCCTCTGTTCAGTATCGTGACTGAGCAGAGAAGGGACAGAAGAGCACTTATGGAATACCTGGGGAGCATTTTAGCATCTGCAAGGCTAGCT